TGGCAAGGGCGACTGCGGCTGGGATTGGGCTGGGGCGGCTGCAGCTTCCTGGGGTGTGGCAAGCAGCCCCAGAGCTGTGTGGTTCTGGGACTGCTTGCTGCCCCGCAAGGCAGGGTGCAGAGCGGCCAAAAGGGCATAGATTATGGGGGGAGATAAGCAGGTGGGGGGAGTTGAAGGCAGTCCCTTACCTTACTAAGGCTCAGGGCTGGGAGGGGCCAAACCCAGAATGACTTGGATTGGGGTGGGTCCTCAGCTAACGACCTGCGATTCTCAGTTAATGACGGCAACCAGGAGTGCCGGGATTGCTGTCGCTAAGTGATGTGGTCGTAAAGCAAGAGGTCGCGTGACCACATCACTTAATGACGGAAATTCTGGTCCCAGTTGTGGTCGTAAGTCAAGGACTACCTGTAATTCAGTGATTCTAATTTGGAATTATTGGCTGGTCATTCTGGACATTTTTGCTAATGTTCCTTCTCACCCTGTCAATTTTGAGTTCTCAATTCAGTCCGCCCAGCTTCTACATCAGTTTGTGGCTTTCAAATAATGCACAAACGTGTATGTGCCTTTTGATGCTCGTTTCTCCTAATGTGTATACATTACACATTACTCTTTGTATCCATTTATACTGGTGATATGAATATGTGTGTATTGCATATATAAAATGTTTACTTGTCACGTTTACTCTCTCTGTTTTGGAGAGTTGTATAACTGCAAAGTGCAAACGCTGAAGAATTCTTACATTCTGGTTGGCCGATCGAGACTGCAAATGCCAAAGTCTTACAAAAATGCAAGACTCTGAATTGCCCTCGTAGCTAGCTTGCATTTGAAAGTCAACATGCCTATTTTTTCATTCTCAACTCGGCACAGGAACCCTTTTTCATACTGGAAAACCACGCTTCTCTGAATGTTAGAAGTCAATTTTCTAACAATAAAAATGTGTACTGGGATAATTCTGCATAAAATGCATGTATTTCTGAAAAGGATGTAGGAAAGTGCACAGCGTTATGCACAAGTGCATTAGGGAAAATTATTTGCAGAAATAGCCCATTTAAATTAGGCGCGAAAATGCACAGGTTTGGAGAAACAGGCATCAACCTGTATGCAAATCTGAGTGCAAACTTAAAAACGAAATGCTCAAGTTGGGGGAGTGAAACTTGATAGATTTGCAAAAGGTGAGAAACGGGGCCAAACGAAAACAGTCAAATTCAGCCCTCCCTGGAAATGTGGAATGAAAAGTAGCAACCTGACTGCAGGTTTATCAAACTGCGTTGGGACCCTTCGGGGAGACTCCAGCAACGGGGAGCAGGGGGAGGAGGTCACAATGTTTAAAAATCCGAATAAGATTGCACAGGGAACATGGGAGTGATGTTAAAACCCACTGCCGGATGCTCTCCTCACTTAGTTTGCTTGAGCAATTGGAATCCTGCAAAGTAGCAGAACCCCTGGGATAATCAGATTAACATTTAATGATGCAAAGTGAATAATGTGTTTATTTCTTCCCCTAACCTAACGGCAGCGACATCGGTAGTTTTGTTCTTGGGGAGGCCCCACAAATACATGTATAACTTTAGGGGGCTGCTGGATTGCCTAATTTAAGTACCCCTGCTTTACTGGAATCATGACTACGGGGATATAGGAACACTCAGTGGAAGCATTTCTTTTAGGGTAGCAAATTAAAAATCTGAACCCATTAGCTCAAGAGCTGAAAGTAAGAGGAAGCAAACAAGGGAACTAAATTGCCCCAGTTCTTATCTTCTGTTTACGTT